GATCAGGTTTCTTGCAAGGGGCAGACTCGAGGACTAAAACCTCACCTGAGTACTGCCACACAAGCAATCAGTGATCTCTAAAACTGGAGGCAACTAGGACCTGACGGGGTGTCAGGTTCTTCAAGAAAAACGCAGGAATACAGAAGTTAGTTGTGTGAAAATTAGAGAAGGTGGGTTGGTTAATGATAGAGGTGGAAGCTTACAGTGATGAAGAGCTGTACACGTGTATACGTGGAGCAATTGGGGAAGCATGTCGATGGTGACACTAAATTGTGTCAATTGGATCGTCAAGGTCAAGCACCGGTTTCCTGACTCAAGCCGAGGACCAGAGGCAAAGGACCGGCCAACGGTCAGTATATATGTTGCCCCTGCCCGGGTGTAGGGCTAGAGAGAGGGTCGTGTGGGGGAGATTTGGGTCACTGTACAGGGTACAGTACCCAGGAGTGGCCCCAGGACCAAAGCCTTCAAAAAAGTGATTTTGTTGGTTCGCGTGTACACCAGGTGTACACGTGGGCAATCTCCCTTTGAAGGGCGGCGGTCCTGTGGAGTGGAAGATGACGGCGGCCCCTCTATAAGAGAAAGGGGCGCGCCGCGACACACCGCAATGGGGGAGAACAAGAAGGACACCCGGACCGACCCCCCCTCTTGAAATAAACATCTCGCTTTTCTCTCTCCCCTACGCGCTCAGCCCCCCTTTTTAGCTGTCAACTTGGTACTCTTGTGGAGGGGGGGCAAAGAAGACGGCTCCCTGTCATGACAGGTGTGCACAGTTTAACGGGTCGAAGCCGGCCGACGTCCACAAGTTCTGCTTCGTGTTCGAAAATGTTGCCACCTCTGGCAAGTCGGACGAAGAAAGGGCATCTGAACTCCTTCGCTACCTGGAGGGAGATGCATTCGACTTCTTTTATCAAGCCTTTGTCAAGAACGGAGATATCAGTGCAGATGGCACCGACTACCAGAAGGTCAAGAATGCCTTGGTCGAGCGGTTCGCCCCGGTTGAATCACCTGAAGATGTGATTCGGGATGCGATGGCCGCTCGCCTCTCTTTCGGGGATCTCAGTGGGTCCCTTCGAAACTCAGACCGTCTCTACGAGAAGACGGGATTCAACGACGAAGCGAAGTTCAGACTGCTTCGCTATGCTGTGATGGAACATCTCGAGTTGGCCCAGTTTGCCATCTATCGATGTGCGAAGACCTACAAGGCCCTATTCGATGCAATCATGGACTTCTGGTCTGGTCGCTGCGCCTTTCAGGCGGCGGCGAACTCCTTGAGCAATTCGCGCTACCAGGGGTCAGAGAGCTCGCAAGTTCTGTATGAGCCGAGAGGGCAAGATGGGTCAAAAAGGGTCATGATGCGTTCAAAAGCTGCCTTGTCTCCACTCGAGACGAAGGTTGACGCTTTAGCTGATCGACTAGCCGATATTTCCCTTATTATCAAGAAGAATCAGTCGAGGGATGACGCAACAGCATTCCGCCCCGCCCACGATCGTACTTGTTCTTATTGCAAACGACCGGGTCATGGCGCTAATAGAGCGATGCGAATCCGCATAGGGACACGAAATGCCCTCGCTGCGGAAAATTTGGTCATTCAGAGACAAGCTGTTGGGCTAGAATTGGTCCACAGAGGGGAGGTAGCAGTGCCTACCCTCTTAAGAAGGCCCAGACGGATATTTCCGTGTCGGGTACACGGACGGGCTCCGCAGGAAACCAGGTGAGTGTTGTGACGCACGAAGACCTCCCTCCTGAAGAGAAGTTAGTGGCATCAGTCAAGAGAAACGCCGATGGAGAGCCGGTGGCCAAGACGCGAAAGGATGGTGGCAGCGAGCCAATCCCGTCCCTTCTCAACCCGCGTAAGTACTGGACTCCGAACCACATGAGGAAACCTCCTAAGCCCGGCCGTCGAACAAGAAAGAAGAGGACAAGTAAGAAGAACGCCGTCCAAGAGCACTGGGGGAAGTACGACGTGGTTTCTTCCCTCGCGAACGCCCCCTCTGGTTTGACATTCGGTCAACTGATTCGAGGAGATGGCGACGAGACCAAGAAAGAGATCCGTCGTTTGTTCAACAGTCGCCCTAGACGCCCGTAGCTGCTTCGATCGGTACTTTGCCGAAACGTCTGAAAGTAGTTTCTGTACAAGTCTACGGGACACAAATGAGAGCGTTGTTAGACTCAGGAGCTATCCCCAACGTTATGAATGCGTCTGTGGCATCGAAGCTCTCTCTGTCTCCAAAGCCGACCTCGACGAAGATTACTGTCGCCAATGGACAAAAGACAACCTGCTTAGGTTCCATCGAGGAAGTTCCTGTCACGTTCAATGGCGCTGTTACTTCACTCAACTTCTTGGTTGTTGAAGGATCCCCAGTTGATATCTTAATCGGGTATCCAACTCTCGAAGAACTTGAAGCCTGCATCGATCTAGGTCACCAGTCTGTTAGAATGTTGA